TACAAGGCGGACACAGAGCGTCCGCCCTCGGGGACGGCTTGTTCCAAGATCACAGGAATGAGTTTCACCTGATGTTCTGATGAAGCCGCAGGCGACCCAGGGCTCGCCTCCATGCGGGAGACGTCTACAGATCAACCCCTTGGCTCTTAACCACGGTACTCCTCAGAGCTAATATTAGCCTTCACAGGAAGCCCGGTTGTGCCCGGTGGCTACACCACGTGCTCAATTACCAGGGCACGCAGGACCCCCGGACACGCTCGATCCCGCCCACCGCGGACCAGGCCCCATCTGGGCCGCGCTAACAGAGAGGAACGCAGGCCTCGACAAGACGGCACATCAGCAAACCGATCGCTGAACTGTGGCCGCACAGCTCAGTGGAAACACACCGAATGCCACGGGAAGGAACTCGACTGCGCATCTGCCTCTCCGTTCCTCATCTCCTGTGGTCACCTCAGAGACCCCCAGCACCCCAGGGAGATCTGTCCCCCGTCCCAAAGCCAACCTCATGACTTGTGTTATTTTCCAGTCTATCCGCTATGCTCGGCAACAAGGAGTCTTTTGGACCAACGCATTAAATAACACGGTACACGGTGCATTGTAGGACCCTGGCCAAAAATTCACCGGCTTATATACTTTTTCAAAGAAAGCTACTTTGAGTAAACATTAATCTCAATCTAAGGCAGCTGAAATTTATTTAACGTCTTCAAGCAACTTCCTTGGGATAACAAACAAGCAAAGCAAACAGGAGAGTCGGAGCACTCCAACTAAGTTCTAAGTGCCTGGGCATCTCCTCCTCTTTCATTCCAGCCCTCCCTTCTCCCTCCGCACACCTTCTTCAAGGATCTCCCTGCATGATGGTAGAGAAAAATTCAAAATCCTTGCTGAGTTTTCATCCCAGAAGCCCCGACCCTGAACCCTCCACCCAGGGAGGCAGTGGAGAGGTGAGTCTGCTCCAGCCGGAACTGTGCCTGAACTTCCGCCAGCCTGCTGCACCACCCCTCCCGACCCCGCCACCCCGCCTTGGGCTGGGTGACCCTGGGCACGCTGCTTAAACTGTCTGCTCCCTTGTGGTCCCTGCCTAAAAGATAGGGATGATGGCACCTACGTTTTAGAGTTGTTATGAAGAGGACAGGAGATTGTCCGTGGAAAACCCTTCACACAGGGCCTGGTGTGGAAGATGCTTGGTAAATAGCAGCTAGTGTTCTTGTGAATACGGATGAGGGAGGCCCAGGACTGCCGGGGACGGCCCCGCTCCCGTGACTGAGGTTTAGCACTTCACACGCAGCAGGGGCTCAAGAGATGTGTGAAATGAACCTCCACAAATGCTTCAAAAATGTTTTTGCTCAAAATCTAGATTTACAAAATATTTTACTAAAACTCTGCTCAAAACGAGTGGGCCCCTGCTTGAGCCTAAATCTATTTTGAGAAACAATCTTGCGACAATGACCTCGTAGCGAACGATTTGATTTCAACTTCACGGTGCCTGAAAATGGATGGTCAGAGTCCAATTTCTTCCTCTATCCAAACACTGCTTCTCTAGGCATGGCTTATCTAGGAATATTCTATTGTCATCTGAATCAATCAATCAACCAACCAACCTCAATTCTGGTAAAACCTGTAATTTCAAAAAAAAAATTAAAAAATCCAAAAGGCACTGGAAAACAGCAGGGGAGGAAAGCGTCCATCTCTTTTTAAAACAACAGCGGATTTTTCCCCTGTACAGTGGGTCAAAGCCAAGCGCTATAATTCTCATAGCAAGTGCAGTTAAGCTGCATAAAGGTAGTGATTTTACATGCGGGATGTTAAGAGCTCAACTTAATGAGGCTCCTTCCTCCAGAGCCCGGGCGGTGCCCACTGAGAAGCATTCCACGGAGAGCCGGCCGAGCCCTCTGAGGTTCACGGCGAGGACTCCTGTAACCACCGTGAGGCATGGCGTTCCCTTCTACAGAGGACAACAGGGACAGATGGCTCGCCTGGGCTGGACACTGGGCAGATTGAGGTCCAGATCCTCTCAGCCCCGTCCTCCCTCCCACCTCGCTTCCTCCAGGCTGTCCTGTCCCCTCCAGAGAGCACAGAAGAACGAGGCAAAGCACCTGCTTGACATCCTGTGTTTGGCATGCAGCCCAATCACGTAAAAAGGAGACAGACTTTCCCCCCCCCGTCGTTCTTTCCAGGCGCCCCTGGAACTCAACATTCGGGAGAGAAGTCAGAATGTCCAGTGTCATTCTATCACCAGAGACAGCAACTTCAGGACCCCCCACCAACTCTGTTAAAATCTGCCACAGGCACGTTTTTACACCCACCTTCTGGAAGAGCCCAACCCAGCCAGCTAGGAGAGGAATGACCCGAGGGAGACCTGCGTTCCCCAGGGCGGCCTCAGACCCTCCACTGGTGGCCCGGCAGTGGCTCCGTGCGCTCTTCCAAGCAAAAATAAGGAGACTGAAAGGAGGTAATGGCAAGAGTAAGGCGGAAAGGGTCTTTCCAGAACTGAGTGCTGCTGTAAACGATCTACACAACCCTGAGCACATTTTAAATGACCTACTTAAAGACAAAGTTTGAAAAGTGGGCCTTATTTTAAGACAAACATGGATGGCAAGTGCATGCCCCTCCCCCCAAAAAGTTTTTCTTTTTTCTTGAGAGAGAGAGAGAGAAGGAGGGGAGGAAGGGAGGAGAGAGAACAAATACAGCTTCCTTGCCAGAGAAAATACTTTCTGCGGTTGGTACTTTAAAGGCTCTATTCCATATTAAAGATTAATGACAATGGCCACTGTGTGTTTCCCGGGGTCTAAACACAAAAAAGGGCTCCTCTACCTGTACCACTGTCCTTGCCTCCACCCGCAGACAGAACCTCAAAGGTGGTGCACAAAACAGAAGCTGCAGATGCCGGTTCAAGACTCCATGGTGAGACACTGAAGGTCTGGAGCCTTGACCCACAAGGACACCAGCGAAGGGGCCTGGGAGGAAATCTAACACAGTCACCAACTCAAACAACTTGACAGGATTTCAGATCCGAGGCAGGCAGCACGTTCCCTGCAGCGAGCTCAGGGAAGCCGGAGGAGAGGCAGGCGTTACAATTCATTCCCCTTTTAGAAAGAAATTCCGACCTGGGGGCAGAGGGCTGGGGCTTTCCAGGGTCCTCCGTTCATATGCAAATCCGGGCGGTCCGCCGGCCGCGGTCGCCGGGTCACCGGGATGGGCCGCGTGGCTGCTGGGGCGGGGAGGGCCGGAAGGTGGGAGAAAGAGGAAAAAAGGGCCCGATGGGTGGTGGTCGGCAGGTGGGGGACGTCCCGGCGCTCCCCTCTCGATCCACAAGGTCGCTGTCACTCGCGTCGGCCGGGAGGCTCACGAGCCCGGGAACCAGCCGCGCCGCACGCAAACCGCCCAGAGGCCCAGGGCGCCGGCGCCCCGAGCCTCCGGGACGGCTGTTCCGCCGGCTCCTCCCCGG